TTAGAAACGTATTTGTGACGATCAAACATGTAGTTTAGTTCAATCTGAACATCATTGTTGAGAGACAGAGTTACCTGAATTAAAATAAGGTGATAAAGTGGATGTTCCAAGCAGCTGGTTCAGAGGAGAACTTACTCACCATCTGGATCTACATGAACAGAGACTGAACCAGAACTCATCTAAGATGAAACATTAAGATGGTGCAGGTGAGTGCGGCAGCCGTCGTACCTGCTCCAGCACCGCTACAACTTTTTTTGTTGTTATTTATCTTTTTATTTATCTGTTTGATGGCATTCACCATGTCATGTCCTCGTCATATCAAATACGACAGAGACACACTGGTGAACATTGGTTTTTCGCCATGTTACACCACTTTTTTCTGTTGATGCGTCTTGGTTGTTGTTCCAACACAGCTCTGGTGATGACGTCAGTTTGTTTAGGGAGGCGGTTGTGGGATTTATTGGGAAACTAGTGGAGGACACTATCCCCAAAAGAACCATCAGGGAGTTTTCCAATCAGAAGCCGTGGATGAACAAAGGCATCCGTGACGCTCTGAAGTCCCGCACCACTGCCTACAACACAGGACTCACTACTGGAGACATGGGACTGTACCGGGCCGCTACGTGCAGCGTCTGCAGAGCCGTGAGGGAGGCCAAGCAGAGGTATGGGGAGAAGCTGGAGTCACAGCTGCAGGGACATGAGGGCACTGTGGCAGGGACTACGAACAGTGATGGACTTCAAAGCAACACCGACGCCCATCGTGAGTGCTGACATCTCTCTGGCCGATGAATTCAACAACTTTTTTGCGCGCTTCGAGGCTCCCAGCCGAGCCCAGGCTGTTTCAACGTGTGAATACCAGGAAAACAACCTGCACCAACCAGCTTGCACCGGTGTTCACGGGAATATTCAACTTCTCGCTCTCCCAGTGCATCATCCCCAGGTCCTTCAAACAGGCTGTCATTGTTCCTGTTTCCAGAAAATCCACGCCCAGCTGTCTTAATGACTACCGGTCCATTGCCCGTACCTCTGTGGTGATGAAATGTTTTGAAAAACTGGTCAGAAACTTCCTCACCTCCTCCCTACCTGCCTCTCTGGACCCCCTACAGTTCGCATACCGGCCAAACAGATCCACAGACGACACCATAAATCACCTACTTCACACAGCCCTGGCCCACCTGGACACGAGGAAGAGGAATTATGTGTGAATGCTGTTAATGGACTTCAGTTCAGCGTTCACCCCCATAATCCCCTCCAGACTGGTCACTAAGCTGCAGGACCTCGGACTCTCCTCCTCCCTGTGCAGGTGGGTCT